ATAATCAACTCAAAACAAAGTGAGTTGAAATTAATACCTTTGTAGATTCCTCTTTGCATAAGCAAAGGCTAATCACCCAAAGAGATAGGGGCCTTCATTCCTTGCTTCTTAGATCCATGGATTTGGATGGAAGAATAGGTTTCTCCAAGTTCCCAAAATAGGGAACCTCTAAGTCTCTTCACCAAGGTTTGATTGTAGAAGAAATGAGTGACCTTGGAGTAGTAGTATTGCTAGATGTACCCTCCAAGGTGTTAGCTTCTTTAGAGAGAAAATGGAGAGACAATTCTCACCCATTTTCACCCAAAATAAACCCTTAATCACATTTTTGAATATTTTGTTATAAAGTCATTTATATAGTCACTTCTTTAAGTGACCTAAATAACCAAACAACCCTAATTCATCTTCATGGCCGGCCTACCTTGGGAATTTTGGGCTTTTGGGCCTTTGTGAATCTTTATTCATTAAGTTGTCATACAACTTAAGTCAATGGGCTTGACGTTCGAAGCCCATTGGGCCTTAAGGTCCAAAACTATCCCGAGGTCTTTAACGAACTTATTCGTTTGATTAATTAACATATTAATTAATCCTTGCCATAAATTAAATGATTAAACCATTTAATCATTCTTACTCATTTCCGTTTAATCTCCAATCTCTACCTTTTACGGTGTGTGCGATCCATTAGGTTCCTTTTAGCGAGGCAGTGGGCGATTAAAACAATTTTACATCGATTGTGAATTGAAACAATTTTTCAATTCTCCCTTTAGTGGTTATACACGTTATAGGGCTTCCACAAACCATGGTTGACGCCTAGCAGCATGTCATGGTTACCCAAGCTAATCAGAAGAGGTTAGAGAACCTATTCAGTTCGGGATTACAAAATGCAATACGGTCCTTCTCTAATCTAATACTCTTGACCACATTGTTTGGTATGATAGTTTATTTATTCATGTCTACTATCCAATGTGATTCATTTGCTTATATGATTTCCTTGAATGTGATTTGGAACGCATTCCCCAATCTCATTCATACTCTGGCCAGAGATTCCAAATCATATCATAGAGTATTCTCCTTCAACTGTTTGAAGGTTAGAGATCCCTTGTTGCGCATTTACTTGTCTCCATAGCTAAGTGGCTTAACCCCAACGATGCCGTGACACCCCTAGGGGGTGAATTAGACATAATCAAAGATTAAGGACTTAACCACAAGACAACTGTGATGCCTCAGGTCAAAGGACTACTTTGCATTATCCCAACCATGAGTTCTCATGTGACATGGAATATAAGAACTCTTCGTTGATCACGTTCAGTGAACTCATTCTCTTATTGAGCACCTACGTACTTGTCTTGATGTCACACACACCAATGACTCGAGACTAGTCACTCTCCCTGAGAGAAGACACAGTACGTACTGATCTTAACGGACTGTCAATGCCCAATTGGTAATCCTATGATCAGGAACATTTAGGATGTGTCTACGAAAGAATGGTCTCATTAATCTAATTTCATTAGATTGCATTCTCCCAATCACATATTCCTTGGACTTTATCGTTTAAGCATATAACATTTATATGAGACGGCTCAAATAATAATCTTTGCCCTTTATATGTTAAACTAGATTAGTTTAACATTTGAAATGTCCGTAAAGTATCATCATATGATTGGTTTTAGGGCACATTTCCAACAATCCATTCATCTAGCCATACTACATCTCACCAATCCATACACTTTCATCTCTTAGTCGTGCAAATCCATTACATCCATATATGCATACACATCCTAGACACTTGTGCTACAACAAGGTGGTGAAAACAAAGGTCCTTGATGTTTCAAGCTTGGAACTTTGGAGCGTTTTAGGTATACTCCGTTCTTGCTTTCAATGTCTACTTTTTATTTTCTAATTTTGTTGCAATTATGAGTGGCTAAACCCCTATTTAGTTAGGGGGAAGTTTGAAGCATGAACATGCTTGAGATTTGAATTGATTTCTTCCAATTATGATTTGATAAGTTGTGATTGCAATTCAATTATCTATTTTATTCATAACTGATTCTTGTATGTTTATTAAGGATGCATACTTAATTTTCATGCATGAATTAGATGCTAGAATATAAATGAGTTTCACTTAATCGTTACAAGTTTATATTCATGAGTAGTGAAGGTTGTCTATCACAATCGCGTTAATTGAATTCTTGGCAATTGTATCATGCATTCATAGTTATAATTGCCTCGTCAACACTTATGATTTTCATTGAACGTAATGATCTCTGATTGTATCTCTATTATGCATTCATATAGGGGACTTTTAGAGAATGATTTGAGTTGTCGCATGCATTCATCCAATTCAATGAGTAAAGGAAAATCTGAGGGTTAATTTGTGCATCACGATTAATCTGGGGTGTTGAGTATCATAGTTTATTGAAAAGCAATTGGAAATCGATTCATGTACAAGTGTGTCATGTGTGAAGAACGGACCTCTAACTAATCCCTCCATCTTTTTATTTCTCAAATTCATTTTATAATCTGCCTAGTTTTATAACTTGCTTGTTTATTTCAAATTCATCCAAATCAAAACTCCCATTTTACTTTCTTGTTCCAAAGTGTTTAAAATCTGTTTTGTTTGTGTTTTAGAGTGTTTTGATTTAAGTCAAAACACTAAATTCGTCCAAAGTTGTGTTAGAGTCAAATCTGCCCAGTTTGTGTTTTTAGGCAGTTTTGAGTGTTTTTAAGTTGTTTTGAGTCTTTAGAATCTGTTTTGAGTCCCTTGAGTCTATTCAAACGTTTTTAACTTTGTTTTTATGTTTTTGAGTAAGTTTAGAGGTTTAGCAAGCCCTCCTAATCCCCGGTTTAGAACGATCCCTACTTGCATTTATACTACAATTTGACAATAAGAGGGTTTAATTTGAGTGCTTAACTTTCATCGCATCAATAGTCTGTACGGCTGAATTCATAGCTCAAAAGTCAATCTAGCCGGACTCACTACAATGACCTATATGGCACTATACTGCACAAGAGTCGGAACCAAATGAAAAGGTCTGTACGATAATAATGGGTGTAATATAATCATGCTCAATACTACTCTCACACAATAGCTGGGCGAAAAATCACTAGTCACCTACGAGTCGGAACCACCTAAGATGGTCTGTACGACAGGACTGTGCACCTAAATTGGATCCAATATGAGCATATGGTGTGGGAGGTGACATAATAAACAGGTATGTGCCATAATTCTGGTTAAATCACAATCACCCTAGGTGCAATTTTATGAGCTCAACGTTATTCAATCACATATAACATCATTGATGATTCACATAATCAAACATAACTTACATGAGCTTACCTAAGCGTCCGCAGCACCACAATTATATATTATGCATCATATACCAATTCATATACGACATATAAATTCATATGCATGGCATTCAAGGCATACTTTCATTTAAACACATATTTCTGGGAAAATATCAAGTATATAAATATATATTGAAAACCAAAAGCCCACTCATTTGTATGTCGAAGGGTCGTAGCCCCCGAGTCGCCCTTGAACGCGCTCGTCCTCGGGATAAGTCTCACCAATTTGAAGCTTCAAAAGTCACGGAATCTCGCCGGAGAAATTCCACAAAATCCGGCCAAACTTGAAAATCATGATCTCAACATCCAATTTCACCCAACGAACCACTCCGAGCTTCCTTAGGACCTCCTAAAGCTTCCTATGTCCTTAAAATTCCCTAAAAATCAACATTTTACGTGAGCATGAATAGTACCTCAAATCGGGGTTCAGATTTCACGAGTTTTCAAAGGAGTTCTTACCTGAAAATGGTACCATTCAACTCGTATGGTTCTCACGAACACAATGGTGTGCTTCACACCCTCGATCTTTACACTTTCGATGGGTTTTGGGTGTAGTCAGTACAAGAGAGAAGAAAAGAGAGAGAGAGTGCGTCCAAGAGAGAGAGTACGGGAGGGTGAGAGAGAAAAAGTTTTGGGTGTGTGTGTGTGTGGTCCTCACACTAACACATCCCTAAACCCACATCTACAACCAAACAGAAAGTCCAAGTCCCAAATTATCCAAAATTAAGCTAGGGCAACCAAATAAACCCTAATATTAAATCTCATGAAACGTTTAAGGGTATTCTCGACATTTCCCATCCATGAGAATAATTTTCCGGGACGGGCTGTGACAATTTTACTTCAAATTTAACGTCTCAATTATAGATAGTTTGAGGGTCTTTTTAGTGTAAAAAAGAAATTCTATGAACAAATTAACATCAAACTCATTACGAATATATGTCCTAATCACATTTATGTGAGTCAATTTTGAAATCTCTTTCAACCAAGTAAAGGTTGAATGCTACTAGACCAACTAGTAATAACAAAATTAATCATAAGTCAAATTTCAATTGTTAAGTTGATCAAAATTGAATATGAACTTATAGAATAAATATCTATAATATAAGGATCAAAGATTGAAGACGGCAACATCAACATCTTAAACAATAATCATTTTAGTGATTGATATTTGAAAGAAAATCGTTTTGGTCACGTCCTACTCTAATACAACCGAAACTTTGACCAAAAATCTAATAACTAAAGTCCCAAAACATACTAGAAAATTCTGGTCATGTACTTAATATAAAAGTTTTTTTTTTTTTTTTTTTTTTTTTTTTTTTTAACAAACGATATTATCTACACTAAAACGATGGGAAAGTAGTTTAAGCATCAATACGCTAACAATAATTTGATATAAATTTGTGTTTGACGCAAATCCAACCTAAAACCTCTTACTTACAAGTGAAGATGAATACCACCTAAACCTTAGTATTAAATTACACTTAAAATATAAGTTGAAATCTATCATCAATCAAGTAAAACCCATATTCAATGACCAAATAATAAATAGAGCTTATAAAAAAAAATAATCAATTGAGATTTCGATACCTGACAGATCTGACACCAATTTTCTGCATCATTCGTTCGAGCTAATGAGAAGTGAACAAATAGTATTCTGACACAAGCGAACAAAATTGGTGTTTAAATTTATTTATTAATATTATATGTCCAAATGGTTCCAAGAGAGATACAATGAAGAACATATATGAGTGCTCCATAAAATTTTACAAAGAAGCAGACTTCATGTAAAGAGTAATTCTCAATTAAATTCCCAATCTTGCCCCTCCTTTTTGCTGTAATTTGCCATCAAATAATAGTAAATAATCCCCACAGCGCCATGATTAAACCAGAGAAATACATTTCTAAGGCGGCGGCGGCAGCAGCTCAGCACTTCAGATTTTCACCAAAATGAAATTGCCATGATAACCATGTTTTTTTTTTTATTTTTTATTTTGTTGGGTTTTTAAAAAGGAAGACAAATTAATTAATGAGATTAATTAAGGTGGGCTACTAATAATACCCACAAAGAGCCTATTGAGTGAAGCCAATTTCATCTCTTTCTCTTCTGCTTCAGCATTTCTAGCCCTCTTGAAATGTACTTCTGGGGACGAAGAAACCGATGATCCCAGTGCCCACGAGTCGTTTGAGATTTCATCGTAGCTGAAATATGCATCAATCACTCCACTTGGGCTGCCCGGGATTTGATCGTGCTTGCGTTTGTCGGTGGCGGCGGTGGCGGCGGTGGCGATGGTTGTGGTGTTGCTGCAAGCGTAATCATAGTCGAGTATCTGACTGTAACAGTCGTTCACTTTTTCCTGTTTCACAATGCAGCAGCACTTAATTAAGCAATAATTAAACAGGATTACACAAATTTAACAACGTGCATTTATTGATCTTCTGTTTGAAGAAGATTGAAACCGATCAAAGTAATCAAATTAAATGAAACAAAAACATAACGTTGGCATTGCATTGTCTCATCATCCAAGTTCGAATGTCTTATTTCGTAGATTAGACTAGTTTAGAATATCATTTTGCTAAACGGAAAAAACAAAAACATAAAAAGCACCAACCTTGCTTATTTTGAGAACACCAAGAAGCTGGTTCTGGTATTCAATGGCATTCCAAGGCTCGACCTGGTCTATAACGCACATCATTGTTGCAGTGGCCAACACAGAAGGCAAATAACCGACGAATCTCGAATCTGAAAGAGACCCAATACGAAAAAGTAAACAAATTGACGAGACAAAACACTTAAAATGTATTAAATCTAGCTCTTCTCTTTGTTCTTATCGAAAAAACATTTAAAGCTTTCTGCGTTAATGAAAGCGTTACGGATTCTGCTTACCGGCGACTACAGAGAGAAGGAGACGCTCGCAGCGCTTGAGGAACACCCAATGGAGGTGGGTTTTCAATCCGAGCCTCCTTAAGATGTGGTCGACAAACGAAAGTGGGGTCACTGGATGCATCCGCCATTGGAGAGTTGAGAGCACCAGAATCTCCATTCTCTGAATCGTTTTCGCCTCGAAAAAGTACTTTGTGTCCTCCACCTGATAAAGAACGAAATCCATGTTTCAGATATTGGAGATTAATCGAAAATTTAGAAGAAAAATCGATTCTTTCAGCACAAAAAAATGATTATTTACTTGAAGGTCTAAAAGCAGAGGAACTTGGGTTTCTTCCACTTTGGCAGCCAGAGAGAGGCAAGTGACGGCCACAAGCTTGACCATCCACGGCTTGTCTCCCTGGAAATGGAGGCTTGAGATGAACCGATCAAAGTAGTTAACTGCTAGGATTGCAGTGAGGGCTGTGAACCCGTAATGGGAATTCACTTTGAGCATCCACAGCACCGCTTCACGGCGAGCCATGGAGATCAACGACTCCTCTTTCCCCAAGCTCTCCAAGTGTTTGGCGAAATGCGTCTGTTGCAGCTCCTCTTTCGAAAAAACAAAGACAAGCTCCTCATCTTCCCAGAACAGATCTTGTTCCAACAGGAGCATGGGAAACAGAGAAGGGCAGTTTGGGTTTTTCCCACTGACGCCGTTGTTGTAGTTCTCACCACTACTCACTTCTTGTTCCACTACTTCTCCTTGGTCGTCGTCGTGCTCCTCCCATTTGTCCTCCTCACAGAGCAAAGCATCCAGCAAAAGTGAATGGCTTTGTGGGTTTCGGTGTTGGTTGTGATTCATTGCAATCTTCTTCCGAGAAGAAGAGGTTTTACTCCTCTGCTCATTATACAAAAGAAAAGCCCATCAATCTCACACCCATCTCTCTCTCTCTCTCTCTCTCTCTCTCTCTCTCTCCCTCCCTCTCCCTCTATCTCTGTATTTTTTGCTTTGGGTTGTGGTGTAGTGGTGTAGTGGTGCAGCAGCAGACACAGTGAAAATAGAGCAGAGTGGGTTTCACGCTTGTTCTTTTTTGTATAAATATATTGGATTTTGGGAAAATCTTTTCTTTCTTTCTACTGTTTCTTTTTTGTTTTGTGCTTTCGGTGTGTTGTTTCGTTTCGTTGGCGGGGAGAAATGTAACGGCACACACATCAAGCCGGACCCATGAAAGCAACCTCATATACAAGGCCTAAATAAAAAGTCACTGTGCTCATTGCTCTAGGGAGGGAGGGAGGGAGGGAGGGAGAGAGAGAGAGAGAGAGAGAGAGAGAGTCATTTGACTATTGGTAGTAGGAGGGAGAAAGAGTAAGTCGTAGGGTTGTATAGTTAATAGGCCTTTTCGGTTTTTCAAACCCACTCCTAGATCATACTTTCAAGGATTTATGCGTCTTGGACTCTTTGTTTAACTATGGAGGGTTTTGGAAGCACCCAACATATTTATAAGGCATTGATTACCCACACGTCATGTGATAATGCTATACGAGAAATGTTTTTAAAGGAATTTTCTCAAAAGTAGTATTTTTTATGAACTTTTTGTCGCCTAACGTCAATAATGTACTAATATTATAAAATATTATGTCAAAAACATGATGTGTCTGAGAGCCCATGGAGAGTCCACTTTTGAGACCTACAATGGTATCATTCCAACAAGGAAAATAACATTGTAATTTCGAGTCGAATTATCTTCAATGCACATACACAAATTATTAAAATTCAAAGTTGACTTACTTGCAAGTGGTGGAAATGTGTTGAGCCATTGCATGACAGTATGGGTTCAAACCCCATCAATAGCTAATGTAACACCAATCTAACAAAATCTATCGTTTGACAAAAAAAAAAAAGTTGAGTTTTGACTTAAAAGTTTTCTCCTTTAATGCAACTGCCAATGTGGGTTAGTTGAGTCGGTAATGATCGTTTTCTTTGCTATATCACAGCGTAAGTTCGAGTCTCGCGCATGCAATCCCTCTTGGTGGGCGATCTATAAAATATAAAAAATAAAAAAAAGAGCTAAGAGCCGTGTTGTAAGTCCTCAAAGAAGCTTGTGTTATGTATTGGCCCTGAGACAGGGCAGCCTCCTGATGAGTCTATTTTATATTATATACTTTATCTTATTCTCAGTATATTTTGGTAATTATTTTGGTGATATTTTGATACTTTGATTTATATTTCCAATGTAGAACTTGTGACTTCTTCTTGGACAAAACGTGATCAAACAAATGAATCTGGGAGTGATTACTATTGAATGATGTTCGTGAGTCTTTGACACATCCTGACCCGAATTGTCCACTAGGACTCCGAATCGGGTTGTGCTGGCCGACACCTGGAAGGTGACGAAGCCATAAAGTGTAGTGATGTGGAATATGTGAATACATTTAAACCTAAAAGTGCCTAAATACGAGAGTGCGTTGTGACAGGGAATGAACCCATTTCACACGTGACGTCAAAGCATAAGTAAAGTATAGTATAGTGGATTGAAAATCATACCATTGAAGGTAATCTCCAATACCAAGACTTGCCACGAATCCTCGTCGATACAAAAACTATGCTACTAGAACTTGGAGGAAAAAAAAAACGAGAGTGAGAAGGCCTGAAAATAAAGCTTTAATAAAGACCTTCTAAACGATATAACCCTTCGCTGTAATACCTGTATAGTTTCCAGGAAATCATACTACGTATAAGTATGAAATCAAATGTAAATCAACAGTAAATCCAGAAATATTCCAAATCAGTACATATCGGCAACAACATAATAAAATCAGGTGCTCATCAATCTATGATAACCCACGAGTCGGAGTTGCCTAACGCAACTTGTACGACTCAGAAATCAATCTATGATAGCACATGAGTCGAAGTTGTCTAATCCAACCTGTATGACTCATAAATCAATCTATGATAACACATGAGTCGAAGTTGCCTAATGCAAATTGTACGACAGTGTCGGAGTTGCCTATTGCAACCTATAGGACAATGTCGGAGTTACCTAATATTGCAATCTGTACGACAGTGTCGGAGTTGCATAAAACACTAATATAGTCATGCCATAACTCAATCATTTCAAATAACACCATAAACTCACCTGTACTTACATGTATGTCCCGCGTTCACCTTAGCACTTCAAGGCATTAACAACAATGTAGGTAATATGCATATGGTTATGCCATGATGCAATCTAAAACTCAACCATATCATAGTATTTTAGAATATATATATATATATATATATATATGACATGGCATAAAATGCATAAATCAATTTAAAACGTTTGTGGAACTATCAATTATATATATACGATAAAAAGGAAAAGACCCACTCACCTGAAGTCTGCGCTACAATTCTCTAGCTCGAATATCGAGGCGTCACGAACCATCGTCGTCTAGACCAATTATCAAATAACGTCTCATAATTCCTATCAATAGAACATGCAACTTACAAAATACATCCCTAAGGACATTCTAGAATGATTTGAAACCCATTGACCAAAAGTCAACCGTCGGTCAAAGATCACAACGGTAGGATCCACAATGCTACGTAACTCAATCTAGAAGATCCGTACCTCGGATTTCTGATCCATAGCTTCCAAAGATCCACATTATGCTTCTAGAACATCATACTAAAATTTCATTACGATCCAACGGTCGGATCTCTACCAATTGCTAGAATTAAGTGGCGGCCGACGTTTTATTTTACTAGCTTACAAACCCAATTCGAGAAAATCCCCATGTCGGATTCCCCATCCGTAAGTTTCCTTGGTCTTCAAATATTACGTTACAAAGCATTAAATTTTGGTCACGATCCAACAGTTGAATCGTCGATTCATTTAATATCCAAGTGGCGGTCTCTATCAAAACTACAGTCTTACAACGAGATTTTGTCAATCAAACCTCACATATGAAATTAGTGTAAACAAATCAGTCTAGGAATGGTAGGTGGGGCCTCAGCCCACGTGAGGAACAATTTTTATACCTGGGCCGAGGTCCAATTCAGCCAGGAAGTGATCCAATTCGTCTCAAACCCGTCGGAAACCCTATAAAGGGTGTGCTTCGATTCGTTGATTCCGAAGCTCCGCCGCCCCAACCACTAGTTGGGTCTTGATCCTGGGTCCAAGGGAAGACTAATGGTAGTGGTAATCGACAATGATGGCTTCAAAAATGGCGAATTGCTGCCGTGTACACCAGAAACTCAACGAGCTCGATCTTGGTGATACGAGAACAAAAACCTATCAAATTTGGGTGGAGATACAAGCTGGAAGGTCATCGAGCTGTATGCATGCGGTGGATTTCCTTTCTCCTCTCCTAATTGGACAGTTCCTTCTTCTTTTTCTCCTGATTGGGCAAACCACATCTCGTTTCCTCTCCTCCGGTTGGGCAGTAGCCTTCCCTTTCCTCCCTGATTCTTCTACTCCCTGACTCCCTTATTTTTCTCATTGGCTTCAAGTTCCATCAAAACTCCGAAGTTAAGCGAGTTTGCGCGAGAGCAATCCTATGATGGGTGACCCACTAGGAAGTTCTCGTGTGAGTTCCTAGAAACAAAACCATGAGGGCGTGGTCTGGGCTTAAAGCAGACAATATCGTGCTACGGCGGAGTCGAGCCCAGGATGTGGTGGGGGCCCGGGCCGGGATGTGACAATTTGGTATCAGAGCTAATCACTGGCCGGAAGTGTGCCAATGAGGACGTCGGGCCCCTAAAGGGGGTGGATTGTTACATCCCACATTGCTCTGGGGAGTGGATCCTATAAGCCTTATATGTATATTCCCATCTCTACCTAGCGTGAGGCTTTTTGGGAGTTCACTGGCTTCGGGTTCCATCGAAACTCTAAAGTTAAGCGAGTTCGTGTGAGAGCGATCCTAGGATGTGTGACCCACTGGGAAGTTCTCGTGTGAGTTCCTAAAGCAGACAATATCGTGCTATGACGGAGTCGAGCCCAGGATGCGAAGCAGACAATATCGTGCTATGACGGAGTCGAGCCCAGGATGCGAAGCTAAGTGGTTATTTTACGGTGGATGAAATAAAAGACTAGCAAGCGAAGTTGTCAAAGTAACGTTTTTGGCTTACTTAGGCTTTTTGGCTTCCAAGATGGTGTCTTTTGGCAATGGGTTCTTCTAAAAATATGTACAGGACATCTCAAAGTTTAAAAAGAGTCATTTTGAGCCTGTTTTTGGAGGTTTCTACGGTCTAAAACGTGGCAGATGAGTTTACTTGCAGTTTATCCATGTTTGACTAGGAATTGTTTTCTAGTTTCTCTTAGCTTATTTTGTTTCTTAGTTTTTAGAAGACCATTTCTAGGATGGATTTTGTCTTGTAGTAGTATATAATAAAGGTACTGGCTTATAGAATTCTCTACACAACTTTGAGAAGATTGTCGAAGGCTCTGGCAAATTGAAGACTTTATTCTATAAGGTGTTTTCACTCTTTTTCTATTCAATAAAATTTCCTTTGATCTTAATTATGAATACACGTAAGTAACTTTCTTTGTCTAAGGCGAGGCCAAGAGTCTTAGCATGAATATGTAGTCAGTATTTAATTGCTTATGATATTATGCATGCATACTTTGAATTATTAATCATTGTGTTTAAATTGTCTCTATATAGGATGATAGATAAGTAATCAAATGCAATTCAGTCAGAATATCACCGGAGGATTGAGTAGGGTTTGTTGTGATTGATAATTGTAATTCACTTAAGGCGTATATCACACTCTTAGGGATTGCATGGTTTTTCAAAAGATTTTCACAAAGTTTAATGAGTCTTGACGGAATGCATGTTATATATACGTTCTTGCTTGATTATCACGACGAGAATATGCATAAGGAAAATCTAACCTTCAAAGACGCATGTGTGATTCATAAGTAATTGGTTAAATTGCATGAAATTGTTAAGGTGATGGCAGAACTCTAGTGCTTTTATAATGATTTTCAAAACCGTTTCCTTTTAGTTATTTTCCTTTTGCTGAATCTTTTAAATTGTTTTAATTAAAATTCGTGTTTATTATTTTGAATTCCAAAATCAACCTTTCTAAACTTTGTTTTAAATAATTAATAAAGAATTGGTTTTAACAATAATTTTTTTTAAATAATTCCTATGGAGAATGACCTTATTAGAGCTGACTATACTACAATTACCTTGTTCTTTTATGAAATTGGTGTCACATCCCAGCCCGTGTTCACCACATCCCGGGCCCGTTCCACCACCGTAGCACGAT